GATCACCGGAAGGGGCTGTATCGCCGTACGCGCTTAATCGCGAAACGGGGCGAAGTTTACGCGAACCCACCGAACGCATCCCCCGAGCACAACGTGCGAAAATGTCGATACGAATTGTCTATTTCTAGGTCGCGAAAGTAAGCGGATCGATAGCGGTGCTCGGCGTAAGGAAGACTGGTGAACTCGCGTACGACCTTTGTCGGGAAGTCCACGCGAGCGAAAAATTCGCGCGTGCCTCCTCCGGGAACGCCGATTTCCGGCGCTCAACCCCACCGAAACTGGGGAAATTCCTGCCTCGAGGCGCTTTCCCACTCGACGGGGCCACCCCATAACCGAATCGAACGCTTTCTGGCTTAATAGTTTCAATTCGATTGAAATTTGGACACGTACTAAATTATTGGACGATGCCCATGTTCTCTATTGTGGTTAACGCTTGAAACCAACTTTGCCACCCAAGGTTTTGATTAGTATCAAATTCAAAATATCAAAAACTGTTTGTTTCGGTTTGCAACGATCCAATGAGCCGAGTTGTTTGCTATAGGCAAGTTTTGTCGTTTCCTTGACATCCATAGCCAGTTAAGGACTCGCTCAGGTGTCCCCCAGAGAATCCAAGCGCATGAATCGCCATACTCTGAAGCGTTCTCGTGAATCGATAGACGTTTAACCCAAATCTATTTCGTTTGCTTACTCGCGTTTAACGATGTTCACACACCTGATGTTTGCAGACATGTGAACCTCGTCCGTCTGTGGAATAACAATTTTCAACGTTCGGGGGACTGATCGTTCAAACGCGAATTCCAACGCATCTCTCGGAATTCAGTTTAAATGAAATAATAATTTTCACTGAACAAACTGTATATGGACTACCTTATTATGCATTTCTTTCCAACTTTTGTATGAAAGAGCAGGTCCCATAGAGTAAATAAGTAAATAGACGTATGGAATTACAGAGGGATAATTTGGTCACTTAGAGTGTCCTTAGCAGACTACGTGGACTCTATAGTAGCTTTTTATTGATAGGGGTCTAGAATTGGTCAAGAGTTGCGTCATGCATTGATTTTCAGATGGGAAGTAGGTATACTTGGCGAAAGGAATATAGTGGGGTACTCGAGGCACGCTCAAGTGCTACGGATAGAGATACCCTTAAGGGTACACATCGCTAAATGCCTTCCTCGCCGCAGTGTCCAAGCTCTTAACGTGCTATATTGTATCAAAAAAATATAAGATGTTGCTCCCTGGGATTTTGACTCGCAACATTAAGTGTCCTATCCGTCTTCACCCCTTGCTGACTTTACGACCTCGTGATACTTCTTCCCACCGAGTATACACCAACTCCCAGAGCTAGGACTCCTAAATTGAAACAAATGTCTTTGCTCGACGGATTCCCCCTGGCGCGTCTAGACGCCCAAGGGAGGGATTCCAATAGTAACGGTTACAAAAAATCGATTTTCCAAATAAATAAAAAATACAGTGCTTCAAGCACGCTAACATAAACTGAAATCGTTCAAAAGGGCAAATGGAGTTTGCTAAAAATATTGGTAGCGACAAATGTTAACAAATAATTAAGATATAAAAGCACTGGTACACTGCTATTTATTATTAATATAACTACGCAGGACAGTGTGCGAAGTAGTCACAGTTCGATGGTTGTCCATAACACTATGCAAAACAAGTTAGGAACTGGTTGAACGAGAATTATGCGCAAAGGTAAATTGGTCGCTGGAGACCAGTTCTTTGGTCTCCCAAACTACGAGATCTCGCACCTCTAAATTGAAATGTTCACAATACAGAACTCCACGCGAAGAACTAAAGCGACGAATTAATAACTCAATTACTAAGTAGGATAAAATGGAAATAGGCGAACCATGGCTCTTCGTAATTCAAATACAGCGACAAATGTCAAAATCAATGTTTTTTTTAAATTCCCCTGAACCAAATTGGCTCGAACGACGGAGGTTCCAGGGTAATGAGTCGCCTATTCAACGTTCGAATATTTGTTGAAAAATGTCTCTCCCATCCTTAATCTCTGCTAGCCGCTACATCAGCGATCGAATTAAATCGCGACCTTCCGTTCGACTTTTAAATGTTGCGCCACCCCATCGCCCGAAGTCCCATTTAAGGGGTAAAGGGCACAAATTGGCGGCATTGTGAACGGTCGCCTGAATGCTGGAGCATGAACGGGTAACGCAATTCAGCGACGCCTTTATTAAGTCAACAACCTGCTTTTAGAAATCCGTCGCATTTCAGCGGGGCAGAATTAAATTCAGAGCGAAATATTCAGCGTGGCCGCGGAACAAGGACCGGCGGAACGTTAATTGGCACGGAGTCGCCATTGCGCCGAAAGTATTCGGTAATTAACGGGACAATTGAATAAACAATGCACGACGAGCACTTACCGCGTCGGATGGACAATGGTTTCTAGTTTTTTTTTTTTTCTCGCGATGCTCAGTATTGCATCGTTACGCCAGAGAGCCAAGCAGCGTTGTCGAACGATAGAAGATGCCCCCGTGAGATTCCCCGATGTTCCATCGACGTTCTCGACGATCCGATGGCGATTCGTTTCGAAACTTTAAATAGGAAGATTTGAATAAATCCGAGGAACGATTCGTGCTTCGAAATAAACACGGAAACTTTCGTCACAGATCTCGGAATTACGTTTCAAATCCATGACTGGGGTAATGGGATAAACGTCTCGTGCCAAAGTCAAAGTTTTCATTCAAGGAACGATCGTGATTCACTGGTACCACAGAAGAAGACACTTTCAACCTCGACAATTTTTTATCGAGCAATTATAAAATGAAACGTTCTTTTGTCGTCGTTAAAGGGACACTGATTGTTACAACAACGATCATTAAATCACAATTTTCCAATCGATTGATCGACTTTTTGTCGATATTCCTCGAGCGAGCACCTCGTCGAGCAAAGTACCCCGAAAGCCCGTGAACCCGCGGTGTTTTTGAGCAGAATGTGGCCGACCGCGTGGCGCAACACCTGACACAGGGTGGTACGTTTATCCCCACCAGCTGAATACTCCGATCCACCCTCGCCGCCCTCGGCAACACGATTCAACCTCGAATTAGACTTTCGCCATTTTAATTCGTTAAGTTTCGCCTATGCAATTAGACGGCGTATTTGCGGAGAAAGCCGAACCAAAGGGCAAAGAAAACGATGTTCTTATCTTACGTCATTCTAAACGAAAAAAAGCACAGAATTCTTTTAACGATAAACGAAAGGGAAATTTATAATTCTTTCAACTTGTTTCGTCATATAAAATCGACCCCTTTTCTATTATTCTACTACCTAAATAATTAGGGGTTGATACAATAGTATATGATACGCCTAAAAATGGATAAAAGACTCAAAAGAATGCCAAGTTGTCAAATTATGTTCCTCTACTAATAATGTGGTGAAAACCTATAAGTATAAATAAAAAAATATTGCTTGTGAGATACTGTAAATTTTCTTCAAAACTCCTGTCCATTTTGTTAGATAATATTGTCTATTTCTATTTAGTTTGAAAGCACGTGGAGTTATTGACAGTTCTTGTTTCGAAGCATTAGTCACGGCTAGATTACGCGAACGGAAATTCATTCTCGACGTGCAACGATACATATATAATAAATGCTAGTTTAGTCTTTGGGTTGATAATCTATTTACAAAGAAAATGATATAACCAGTTCGTGGTGAATGGATCAAGATAACAGGCAGCGCCATCGATGGCAAAGTGTCCATATTTGTAACGATATAGTTTCTATTTTTGCCGCTAGATAGCGAGACAAAATTATATTTATCTACGAAGGATAACCTCGAAAGAGGTACGGGAAGTTATGGAAGTCAGATTGGGCCACGAAAGTCCATGAGGTGTAAAGTCTACTTACATACACTGTCTATGCTTGTATTGTTACGTCACGTATCTCATCTCATACGCGTCACATATGCATTTATGCGAACACTATACAAAATGACAATTAGAAATCATTATAGTATTAAACGGATTTCTGCTTGTCACATTGTTGTAACTTTATTGCATTAAAATGCTAGTCATAATGAAAGCTTCAGTAACGGTATCAGCAGTTTTACTTCATTACAATGAATAAAGTCGTTTTATAAATAAACAAAATATGTATCGATACATATATATTTTCCTAACAATTAAATAATTTTTAGAAACAACGATACAAATGTCCACACGACATTTTCCTTTTATTCAAATAAATTATAAACTCTATTGGAACATTTATTATAAAGTTATTACTTACAGAAAACAAAAAATTTCGAATTTTTGTATTCGAGGTTATTATTATAGGTTGTTGAGTTCGTTTCAACATGCTCTACAATGCTGCATTATAAAAAATAACATGTTAATGCGCAAAGAAATGGCAATGACGTACGAAACTCGGAAAAAAACTGACCTCGAGAGCCAAAAAACACAAATCATAATATTCTAAGCAATCAAATTTGTCCTGACACAGTTGTTCACACCAGTAAACATACTGGAGACATTTATGAAATTAAATGAAAGTTGTTCAGGTAAAAACGTTACATAATGAACAATGTGTGTACATATGGTTAGAAAATTAACGCACATAAGTTTCAAATATTTCTATACACTTAATCAAAGACAAGTTCGTTACCCTAAGGCAGGACAATGAAACGTATATTGAATAATATCGTAAAGCTGTTTACATACCGTGTCTCGTTTAGCATGACGTGTTTTATTTTTCATCGTTTAGTCTCCATTTTGACGAGCTCGTGAGTGCTTACAAGTCCAAATCAAATAACAGGTGCCAGCAAGCATGGGAAATTGAAAGTCAAACGGAACGGCTGCTTGTAAATACTTGTAACCGTTAACACTTAGCTCGCGTAAGCATTCAAATCGAATGCACCCCTCGAGATGTGCGACATATCTCGATACGCTCTATATATCCCGTCGCATGGTGGCGCCACGTTTACCAACGCCAATGAAAATCTGCCTTTCACGTATGATGTGACACCTCGCGGCCAACGTTAACAGAAATGCAATATTTTCCGGTAAAGTAGTTTTGGCAGTTTTTCGATACGTCGTGCATGGAAAAAGTATGGGAAAAATGTAATATTGCGTTGCCTCCAACGCGAATCGATCACATTAATTTATGGCTCGCGTCGGTGCCCCGAGTGCGATAAACTCTCACGAGTCGTGTCCTTAATCGCTGTGCACATTAGATATAGTACCATCATCGCGATAGGGCGCTCGGAACCGTATTAAAACATCGATCGGTGAAGTGAAAGTGATAAAAACCGACGAAAATCAAGTGTTTTTTCACCATGTAGTTGACAAATCTTTCTCAACAGGCCTTTAAACTTGTATCGCATATCAATTCTCGCGTTATTCACGTACAAGGTTAAAGCGCTCTGATTCATAGTTATTGCTTCTGACCAGGGCATTAATAAATGAAAATGAGTGGGGATATGTTTGAGGGAAAGGATTACCCTACCCAATGGGCCCTAAATCCTTCTGCTTATCAGAATATGAGTAACGATCAAGGTAAATGGAGTAAGAAGTATTTCAGTACGAGATGCGTATGCGATTCATTTTCTTCCACCATTGTACAACTTCTAATCAATGTACAAAACTCTTGATCGCTATTCAGTTGACTGGGCAGCATTAGCTCAGCAATGGATCAAAATGAAAGAGACTGTAGTACCACCGGCACCGCCGCCACCTAATATTAATCCTGTGTGTTCTGGGAACGATGGTAGTGGAGAAGCTCCCATGGACATGGACACAAAAGACGATGATATACCACCAGCACCTCCTGCACCTACAATTAGTGGATCAGGTAATGAATAAAAATTGAATTTCTATAGTTCATTGAAATACGCTAAATAATTAAAGATATGTGTATACAATATTCACATATAATGAAGATAATTTTGTACTATGTCTACCCCTGTGTAAATTTCAACAATTCACTGCAGGAAGCAGCTAGTGTAATATATAGCTCTTTTAATTTGAGGAAGTAAATAATAATCCGTAAACTAGATTAGTATTAGCACAGACATAACCTAGACCAAGCTAGTACTAGCACCTGTGAGGATTCCAATGTTTTTTCTGGCAATTCTACAGCGAAAATAAGCATATATCCGTGCTCTTTTCTTTTTTTTTTTACCAATAATCATTATTTATAAAAATATTCAACGTTTAATTTTTCAATCTTTTGTGTGTATTATTTCTTTGAGTAATTTTGAAAGTTGTAATAGCGGAAGCGTATAGTTGTAGGTTCGTACCAGAAAATTCCAGGTTCGAATCTCGTAAGGTATAGAAATTTTTTTTTTTTGCAAATTAAAATTATGCTATGACATAATTATGATAATAGAATATAAAAGTCTATAAATGTTTTTAGTAGAAGGTTAATATCAATTATTAAATATTAAAACTTAATTTTTGGACAAGGAAATATCCCTTCTTAGATTATACCGTAAATAGAGGGACACCCTGTAATTGTTCGTTTGATTTCCTGTTTTGTTTGTAACCTAACATTCGCAGATATATCTAATTCATAAATGTCGAACGACTTTCGATTTATATTTATGGAACTACTTTACAAAATGTGTTCTTTAATGCCAGCCGAAGCATGGAACCAATGGAATCAATGGGGTCATTGGAACAGCTCAGGTTCTGGGTCAGGTACTTGGGAGTGGACTGGTGTACCTCCACCTGGTGTTTCTATAGGTTCTGATGGGAAACCTATGGGAATTCCTACAGTACCAGTAATTCCACCTGCTCCGACTATATCGACTACCGCAGAATTTAGTGTTCCACCTCCAGCAGCACCGTCATTATATTCTTATAACTCAGTACCTCCGACACAACCTTACAGTCAGGTTAAAATTGTATTTCTAATTTAATAGTCACCTAGACTCCCACGATCCCCGATTCACTTAGGCTCGGTAAAGAAAGAATGAACCACACATCGTGTGACAATGTTGCGTGTGCAATTGCAGTCGAGAATGTTTAATTTCCGTAGTATCGAGATTAGAAAATGAAACGCGGAGGAGATTTGAAATTTACAGATAACGAGTGTCTCATATTTAGGTCAGTAGTTTTTGGTCTGGGGAACCTCCGGCTACAATACCCCCCCAACCGCCTCCTTTCATGAAAGGGGTGAGACACGCGAATAGAGCGCCGCATATGAGGCCCATAGATAATGTACGGTGTCGGGAAGACAGGGAAAAAACACCAGAAGAAGACACTACCACCACAATAGGTACGTTCACGAAACGTTGCTTTCGCCAGCTGTGTAGGCGGAATATACCCATAACACTAGCAAAATTCCAGTTTTATGGAACCAAATAACCCTTACACTATTGCACGATCGTTCACTATTTCGTGGATAACTCATTATCTTAACCGCTTCCCGTGAATTCAGACTAATGCTAAACTGCTTTGTAACAGAGGTTATAAGAATCGTGACCAACTCTTGTGGCGTACTGATAGGAACTAAAACTCAATCACGATCGTCATTTGCTGTCCGCGAGCCTGGCTCGTGATATTCATGTTTGGGCCAAAATCATCATCACGAGTCAGACTCGTTGAAGTACGGGAAGGGGTTAATTAAATCGATACTCGCCATATTTCCTCCGAGTTCTAAGAAATAGTAGGGGTAATTTTATGGTATTCCCCGAATAAGAAAATTGTCGCGATAATTGTTCGTACGGTGAGAATATTTTTCCTCCAGACGCGGCAAAACGTAGGCAATTACCAGCGTGGATTAGGGAGGGTTTAGAAAAGATGGAAAAAGAGAAACAGAAAGCTGTGGAAAGGGAGAGACAGGAAATTCTGAGGAAACAAGAGTTGGAAGCTCGAAAACAAGCGGAAGAGGAAGCGCGGGCAGTTCTGAACCCTTCTAAAAGCAAATTTGTGGGTATCTTGGACAGTTATGGGGTTACGTCGCTATGGTGGTCGAAGTTCTAAGCGTGAAATACTGTTGAAAACTTTTGCAAAAAGAAAAACTCGATTTTATCAGCCCCTATAGTGGCGTAACTCCTTAGAGCGTAAATGAGGTAGCGTCGTTTACACGGTTGGTCTTAAAAAATGTAGGATTCTGATTCCGAGAAGGAAACAGAACAAGAACCTGACGAAGGGGTACGAAATCAGCAAGTAGCTGAGAAAAATTTCGAACGTAGCCAAGACATTCTTCTCCGACCGCGGAAATCGCGATTTCGAGACGCAGATTCACCTGACGCTCATACTCATACCGATAGAAGTCCGACCACTCCTTCCAACACGACTCTAAGTATACCCAAGCGAACTAGAGAAGAAATTCTGCAAGATGCGGTACGTTTTACAACAATCCGTCGATGGTATTATTTACGAAGAAAGTCTTGCAAGATTTGGAATTTCTCTTCGTGGAATTTTTTACGAACATAGAAGTGCTAGTCAAAATTTTTTTGTTACAATCTGTAATCGACTACAAACTGATCAACTTTTGTTGGAATAATTTTTTCGTCAGATTATTGGAATAATCTGAATTCAATAAAGATCAAGTTTCAATACTGCTGTTGGATAAGTGTCGCAACACTTTCTTGGTAATGAAATAATATTAATGGGTGTGTTAGTGCCAGTAATAACATTGGATACAATTTGTGTGCGTCAGATGTTGAAGGTACGGAGATCGCTAACGGAAATTCTTCTGGAGGTAACCAACGAAGAAATCGGTTCTATATGCAGAGAGGTTTGGAGCCGCGCACGTGCCAAAGGTACCCCAGATACACACGATACAACTAACAAATTGATATTTCATACTTTCGCTCATCAGTGCACAGAATCTGATTCACACGAGTCTCGTGCAGTGTTGCGGTGAATTTTATTTGCCCATTTCTGTAATATAAGCCTTCAAATATTAAACAGAGATTTTTCAATTCATAGAGTTACTTATTCGATAATTTCAGGATATCCTACTTTATTTTTCCAGGATTTATACACGTACTATAAGCGATACTCGTATTTTCTTTTTCAATAGATATTGCAGAAATAATTCCGATCGAGAGTTTTCTTTCTTTTTTTAGTAGAGATGAACCTCGCGTCCCGACACGGTCTAAAAGATTAAAATTTTGTATCAAATTTGTAGTTCAGTGAAAAAAAATGAGTGGTGAAGAATTACGTGATGTGTACTCGATGTAATTAGCGTAATAAAAGAATTCGTACACTGTGCAGACGTCGCATAAAATAAGTAACACGCGATAAACATTTTCTACGAATTATTCTAATATATCTGTCGATTGGCTCGATAAGAAACGGTCTCGAGGAAACAGATATAGCACGTTCGGATTATATGTATAAAGAGAACTGTTTGTTTCAGTTTCCAATTTCTTTACATTTCGCGGCACGCGTTGTAGTTGTCAGAAATGTTATGCCCCTAACTTTTTTTACACAAAGTATCTGTATTTATTTTCACTGATGTCGAGCTACCTTATGGTCGTGCATAACTTGTCATTGAAATGTATTACTAACGTCACCTCTAAAGCAGTTTCAGTTTTGTATTTCTAAAGTGAATCGTTAAAGATTTCTTAAGGCGTATGAGGAATGATGCAGGATCTCGACTCTCCTTGTGTGTATCGATGATGATGATGATGATGATGATGATGATCAGTACCATTTAATTTTGGGGGGTATCCTGAGGATAGCTCTTAGCCATTGGGTACTAAATGCGTGTGTATTGTAAGTCCCTGCAGGAGAGACCCCCGTCGCATCCTTCAACAACATGGCCCCTCTTGCTCAGATCACTCGTAAGCTTGGTAAGTCCCTATGTCTTTACAATCTTCAACGCACGGTCATCCTAGGAACCGGTCGTGTACATGCCAGTCACTTGTAAAATGCATCCGTGCATTACCGCTCTTTGTAGCCATGCTCGCTTATAAGTCTATCGTGAAACGAAGATGTCTTTCAGGACATTTTTCGATCATAGCAGCAGCATATTTAGTGCTCGAGCGTATGTCTTTACTTTGAACGACAAAACGAACGTCGTGTCGTGGACATGCATAATAAACTACTCGTTTCGTATAGGTCTGGGCATCTATGGTGACAGCAACAGCGAGTCTGAGGAGGAGCAGAGCGAACACGTCCAGGCTCAAAACAACGACAGCGACGAGGAGCTGATTGTGAGTTCCTTAACTTGAGAATCGTCGTTTGGCAACTTAATTCCCATGCATATGGAAAAAAAATAAAATTTGCAATCGCTTGTTGTTGCAGGAAACTTTGAGACGGCGGCAACAAGCGTTCAAAAAGACGGAGGAGGAAATCGAGGCGCGTCTTGCGGAGGAGGATGAGAGGGATGAGCAACGTTACGAGGAGCATTATAATAAGCAACAGGAAAATCATACTGGTAATACAAGCTGCAAGGATACAGGTATGTTTCGAAATGAAATAATACCTAAGGACGTTGTATTGCATCATTAAGCGTAACTCCGTAACATCACTACTTTAGTTGATGAAAAAGAAACGGTAAATAATCAAAGAGAAGCGTCTGAAACTTTATCGAGCGGCGGACAAAGTCCACAGCAACAGATCGTGCCGCCTGATACGGCAAAGACCGATACTCCGTCGGGGTCAGCCGATTCCGAATCTAGCAGTTCCGAGTCGACGAGCTCTGACTCGAGTCGTAACTCGTTGAAGAAGAAAAGATCGAGCAAAGTTCGTGACCGTGATTATCGAAAGAGGAAGTCGAAGAGTAGGAGTAAATCTAGAGGCAGGAAGTCCCGGTCCCGTTCCTCCGAGCGTGGTCGCAGGCGGAAGTCCAGGTCCAGATCGATAAAGTCTTCACGTAAAGAGTATCGTTCAAGGTCTTCGAGCAATTATAGGTCCGGGAAGAAGCACAGATCGCGATCAAGAAACCGAAAACGTCGCAGATCCCGTTCGAGGAGCTGCCGTAGATCTAGATCCGTCTCGACCGCGAGGAAATGGTCGCGATCGCGTTCCAGGGGAAAGAGGAAGTCCCGTTCTCATTCGAGAGGCAGAAGACGTAGCCGGTCCTATTCTGTCAGACGCAGTAAATCACGCGCCAGGGACAAACGAAGGACACGTTCACGATCCAGGGGCAGAGACAGAACCCGATCCCGCTCCAAGGACCGCAAGCGTTCCGAATCTTACGTTTCCAGGAGCAAGAGGAGGAGCAGATCTAGATCTAGGGATCATAGAAAGTCACGATCGAGATCAAGGCAGCCGAATCATCGGGATGGTAAGAAATCGTCGTCGCATCGGTACAGGAATTGAACCTGACCAACTTCTAGCCAAGGTTGTATATACATATTCATATTAATAACTTTTTCGAAATATTCGTACAGACAGAAAAAGTGAGAGAGAGAAGTAACGAGAAATACTTTTTGTTCTCCATAGATATATGTATATATATATGTATATATATGTATACGTAATCGTACATGTATATATATGTATACATAGACGTCGGAAGCAAAGGTTTTCATTGTGATTGTCCATTGAAATTTTTCCATGTGCGCGTGCGCGCACGTTAACGATGTCGGATCGATTAGGTTACTTCTGTCCGATTCATTAGGCTCGTTAACTTGTAATAATAATGTCCAGCCAGTTTTGTAATTATATCATGAGAACATCAGATTTTTACCTCTGTAGTGCTAACTCGTGTAAACCTAACCTCTATTCCTTTTTTTCTTTCTTTCTTAAGAACAATCAGGAACACGTATTTACGCGCATCGCCGAACTCTCTGTTGGCTACTTATTCTGATTGATCTTCTTCTCCGACGCCATTATTTTGTAACGATGTATTCGTTTTATACGAAAGGTTATTTTCCTACATTTCGCGGTATAGTGACTCGGGTCGGACACCAATCTACTTGTGGCGAACAAATACTGACTATCATTAAGTCGTTAACCGTTCGTAAACTTGATCGTTGTTGCATCGCGCATCTTTTTTCGTACAAGTAAGATCATAGGTACACGGACGTACTCTTTACTACGCATTAAAAGTCGCTGCCGGGTAATTATGCGGGAGCCAGATTTAAACAATCTCACGAAGGTCGCTGGAAGTCAGTGTCGCTTCTACTTTAGCTATACTTGAATAGTTATTGATTTAGCTCGAGACAGGCTTGTAAGTTTCATACCTTGTACCCTATTTATAAGTTTTCTTACCATTAAAAATTAGGCGAGGTACCAACGGGATTCGACATAACATTCTCACGATGTTCGACGAATGATTCCTTTAAAGAAATTTTTTAATTTTTAGTGTTTGTAGAACTATCGTGGTGGTCGAATTCCGTAGACATATCAATTATCGATTAATCGATATACCGCGCGTGAGGAAAGGTGCACGATGTAACAATCAAAGTGCTAATTAGACGAAACTGATTAGGTACAAATGAGTTTTATATTAGAGATTCGAGGATGCCCGACTCGAATGCATAGGAATCGCAACAATTTGTTTTATTATTTAAAATTATTTTTTGTCAGTCCCTCACGTTATGATTCTCGCCATATCAAATGAATAGAAACGATACTGTTACAACCAAGATGCATAAAATCGCGACACCATCCGTTGCACATACACACAGAGATTTATTGGTTCCGGTTACACGATTGAAGTACGCTCGCATACGTAAAACCGATAATTTCAATGTGTTGTAAGTACGGACCTTACATACATACTGCTATGATAAGTGTAATGAGTCATTTTTAATTGAAATAAATAAAAGGAATGAAAAACGAAGCATATTTAAACATAATAGAGCGAAACATATCTACCTTGTATGATCGTATTTCGCGAAGGTAAGCTTTTGATTTGTTCGAAAGTTGCACGTGACGAATACAACAGGATTTTCATGTTTTTTTCCAAGTCGTATTATTTTGTCTTTCTTTTGTAATATATATTGGGAATTAGACGACACAATACGTCCGTTCTATTGCATTATCATAATTTATTTCATATAAACATTTGATACAGTTTTAAAATTTTCTTTGTAGAGCTTAAGCTTTAGTAGTAGTGTTAATAGTAATTAGATTCTATAGAATATATCGGAGATAAGTGGATGGAGTGATCGAGAGTCAAAGTTTGGTTTGGCATGATATCGTTAACGTTCACTTTCATACATTTGGATATATATAAAAGAACATTTACAGAACGGAATGCAACGCGTTTATTCTTCTCATGCGGAGTGAGAGGACGTGATTTCGAGAAAAATAACGCGAATATTGAATTAAGTTTACAAACAATGGATACAGGTATCTGCAAAATTGTTGTAGAATTTGTTTCTTAACTTGAGCAACGTTTGTTAGGTTGGAATATTTGTTTAAACTTTACTTGAAGAGTGTCTGAATCCCTAGCAGTAGATATGTCATTTTAGCAATATTTTTCTTATAATATTAACTTTGTAGCAACATATTTTCTCTGTATAAACATTCTTCTTTTTAGTAGATACCTATTTTTTTTTTTATTTTTTGATGTTTTTATTACGTTTATTCTTAATCTTCTTTCACTGACCAAAGCTGTTTTGATTTCTGTTTAAGATTGTTTCTTCTTCTTTTTTTTTTTAAATAAATATAAGTTATTCAGAAGCAAATCTGACTAGTTTTGTATTAACTTTGTAATAGTTAATAAATTAAAATAAATAAAAATTTCTATTTCTACCTAATAATTCTCTACGAAAATATTTACAAGTTAGAACAACTTCTTAGTGCCTAAATATATGCTTGTAAAAAAAATAAACCTCTAATAAAACATTTTTAAATGTAATGGAATTGTGCCCTTTTTTTTTAATTTCAGCTACTTGAGCTATCAGCAATTTTTGTTGATGACTCTGCAAGGTATCCCCGAAATATAGTTTAAGGAATGGCAGGAATCTATTCCAGAAGCATTGCTAATAGTATAACCAGTTCCGAATAACCATAATTTATATGTTACTTTACATGCATTGAAAAAAATTATAATTGTGTCGTCAATTCGATGTTCTATTTTCCACGAACTATATAACTTGTCAGTGAAAGAATTAAGAATCTTTTAAAACCAATAATCATGGACCAAATTTTGTGAAAGATTCAATTCGCCTCCGAACACAATTTTTCTCAAAATCCATCAAGCAAAAAAAAATATCACTATTCGATGTATTTTTATCTCACGTTTATTTCAATTTTCGCCTATGCTAGATACGTGCAATAGTATCCTCACGTTAGTAGTTACATTTGTAAGAACTCAATAAAGATTGGTCTTGGGTCTGATAGTCCTTTGTATCGAAGCAGGCACTCGGTGATGTTTGTTATTGATAAATGCTCATTGTCACCAATGTAGAACAGAAAATAGTTAATGATAAAAGTCTCGTTTTAATGATCTAGTCTGACGGGGTCGCGATTAAATTACATATCGTCTGCAGATACCAGATAATATAAAATAAGGTACGTATTTTGATCTATGTGGGTAGCTATGGGGAGTCTATATCGACTAATCTTATCTATGCTCGTTAAGAGATACCTTACTTTAAATATACAGTAAATATACATGTATGCTTAAACTGTCAAAATATTCTCACCAATGTTGATCAAGCAGGGAACAGTTAATGTCAACCCTTAAACCATAGGATTCGGTTTCTCGACCGTCAGTTTCTCTAAATATTGCTGTAAGCTATTATAAAAAGAAAATCAAATGAAAATAACCTTCGAAGAACCTTTTTTTTATGATTTCATTGCCCCATCCTTGAATTTCGAAAAGTAACTTGAATGGAAGCCCATGTGATTTAAGGGTCGACAAACGATTCGAGGGTCGCGATTACTCGCGCGGACATATTTATAGATAAATGTGTACAATGGAGAGGTAATCAGTTTACCAAGCAAGATTGTCGGCAGGGGTGAATTGTTAGTGAGAACATTGTTACAATTTAAGCATAGTGGATATCGTTAATTCGCTTTATGTATGGACTAGACTCAATTACTTATAATAGTAGATCTTCATACGATATTGCAAAGAAATGTAGTTTCAAGCTGTTACGATCGAAGATGTGAATTTACAATGTAGATTGTCAACACATGTTACTGACACTATCTTCGTCTCGCATCCAATAAACCCCTGTTCTGCTATTTCTATAATGATTAGGAAAATGTGGTTTGTTCACTGCATTGATACGGATGAGAGACTTAACAGCAAGAGCTTTAATTAATTATAGAGTTTGATATGTATAGTAGTTTCATAAGAAATATGTATAATAATCGTTTATTGTCACTGTTACAGTGTCAATTTTTCAGTGTTCGTTTTTAATTGTTGATATTTTACAAGAGGAATACTTTCAAAAATTCTATACTATAAAGTACGGGAATACCCTAACTCACTCTGGAAAGAACCACGCCAGTAACACGTGTCGACAAACCTATCGCAAAGCCGATCAGCGGGCTGGATGTTTACAAATAATCATAGCAAAATAGTTTCGTATATTGTATAACACTACAACGACACGAAGTAGGTAAAGTACAGAATAATCGTAGCTCAAAGGTCAAAAGACGCGTGGATTCGAAGGAAAAAGACGTCGCTGGTAGCCTTAGAAATCATTACCATACTATCCGTAAGATGTAAACGTTCCTAGTAGTAAATAATACAATGCACAGTGCGAGTCACCTAACGTTGTCATTCGAACAATCTCAGTTTCTTTTGGCTATACGAAAAAAGCGCCTAAATAACTCTGCCCCTTCCTAATTAAACTATTTCGTGTCGTCAAAAGGAATTGAAATCTGTTGGTACGATAACTTTAGGTGCTTCGCCTTGTATATATTTATATATATAATATATATAATCTTTTTATATATATCAAGATCGTAATAGAAAGAAGAGCGACAACGCGTCGTTTCCTTCCAATTTTCCATTCTGATATGTATACTGCAACGTAACGCAAAGTAAAATCACGTTTCTCTTCACCTCCCCCTCCCCCTTCCTTTACCTTCCTCTCTGGAGACTCGAATAGTCGAAATCACTCTCGCCTGCTGTTTACGCGAGTAAACAACGAGTAAGTCGATCGGTTTGTTCCTCGTCGAGATTCCCTTCTCCTTTCCCCACTTTCCGGTTTCCTTTCCAGCGGTTTTCACTTCCCCGAGCGGCAGACGTCAACGCATGTTCGCGAAATGATAGTACGTCTATTAAAATTATGGAAGGCCCGTCTAGCATTGCTAAACGTCGATTACACATGTACATAAATAGCGTATAAATTAATTAAGTACAAAAATTACAAACTTATTAACAAAAAAACACATATTGGCGAGACTGAGGAGTTCAGCCGAATCGAGAGTTTCGTGATTTTCACTGTTTTCCCCGTTTGTTTTCCGTCTTGGCCCGTTCGTTTCATGTTTTTCTCTTTCCCGTTTATTTATTTATTTTTTTTCTTTAAATAGGAAAACGCAAAATGTGTGATCTACGCTAGGGCTGGGTGTCCATTTGTATATTTTTACTCCTTCCTCCATCTAAGGAGTCTTTTCTTTAAAAATATATGGAGAGAAACGTTAGTTTTTGTTTTATGAAAACAGAAATGTTGTATAGATACTCGTTAATCAAGTAGAACCACTTAATTTGTAGTTGACATTATGTAGATACCACAAATGCAGTACTTCCCCTCTTCTTTCATCGTTTTTCCGCTGTCTGCGCTAGTAGTAGAAATACTTGATTAGTGTAAGCACGTTAGTTCATTAGCAAAGGGCATTTCAACAAGAAAAAGAACAATTTTTTAGTTTATCAGTTGTAATGTACAGAAAAATTCGACGACCAGTCCCAGCCCTAACTTACGCGAAATAGTTTTTCGTCGAGGGCGTGCGAAATACTTGTCATTTAACGAAATAAAACACTAACACTCATTGTTGATAATGCAATAAAGTACCGCACGTTCAATTACCTAACGCATATCACAGAATCCATGTGTACACCTTTAAAAAATTATTACACGCGCGAACGCAACGACACGATTAACCCTTCGCCGTTTCTCTATCGATACCGACTCGTGCTCGTTTCTTTAATTTAAATTCAAATTTCCAAGGAATTATCTCCGAGCGATAAAAATAATTCACGACACCGGGAGATAGATTGCAGACGCTGGAAACATTAGTGTTCCCCATTAACAATAATTCGAACCGCACGGGGTTAAGCAATTAAGAAACAAAGCAAAGATAGTACGTACAGCACGATCACACAATATATACGTAGGCCTAATTAAAACTGAATTCCGTGTGTATGTTGCGTTTCTTGCAGACCTGAGCATTGTTTCTATTTAGAGTTAAGTTGCAGAACTTTCATCTTGCTCTCCCTAGCGTTGTACGAGCAGTTCGTTTTTAAAGTTGGGCACACTGAGCCAGAAAATAGGGGTTCCCCCTTACTATTAGCGCCGCCAGTGGGAAAACGATGAAACACTACTACTATTTTTCGCGCGTATAGTAATTGTTTCATCGTTCCTCCGTTGGCGGCGTTCATAACAGAGAATGCAACTATTTGTTGGCGTAATGTGTTTAAATTTCCAAATAAAACAAATAAAAATTTCCATATAGACTAAATAAAAAAATATAATAAAACAACGTTACGTTACTTAAATTATTTTTACAACAAGATCGCGATATGATATAACCTCTGCCCAGGTCTGGTTTATCGTAGCTCGATCGAGGCGATTTTGTTTGTGCTCCTCGATAGAATTAAGAATTGCGTTCTGTTTCCTTTCAATTCAAGAATTAATCACGAGCCCGGAAGATCGCGTTACGTTAACCTCAAACGTTTTTTCTTGCGACCTTCTCGTGCTCGTTAGGCGATCCGTCGAAAATAGTAATCATCGCCTTTCACGCGTGCTCACGTTCGACGAGCAAGAAACTTGGAACTGCACGTCCCCCGGGGAACTTTTGCGTGGAACTTAACAATACGGATGAGCTAACATAATCAGGCATACATACACGTACGTCGTAGCAACGTCGGATATCATTAACTGTAATGAGTATGTTATGTTACAGCACTATACGAGAATACTCTTAACAGTTTAACCAATATTATCTGTATGGTACAGTTGCGCGTTTTCCGATCCGTCTCGGTGAAACCATCTCCTGCGAGATATCTGCGAACATTTCAAACGAAACTAGTAAACGTCTATTTCTATAAAAGGGTTAATTTTACGCTCTGAGCCTCTTTTACAACTTGTAATTGTTATACGACCGAACGATAAGTAAATAAAGTCACCTTGGTCACTAAAACGGAGCGATGCTGAGGTCACGATGAGACTATTGGTTGAGCAGGGTGTTAGTCACCTCAGAGATGGACAGCAAAGGACTCCCGGCGTCCGGTTTGGAATCTGTGGGACAGTTGGGCCCATTCCCCCCGCCGATGATCCCACCACGTGTTGGTGCTGAGGGTGGTGGTGCGGTGGGTGGTACAAGACGTTGTTGTTGGTGTTGCTGTCCTGGCCGATGCCCATGCCGACTCCCGTCCCCGTTCCCACAGCTGACGGGGGTGTGCTGCAACCGACAGTGCGTTCACCCGTTATTTGCAACCCCTTTCAACTTCTCGTTAGAACCTGTCATTGCAACATTTCATTGTTTCGCCTCTGTAGGTTTTTGATTCGACAAACTACTCGACACATTTTGCACAAATTGACATATACCCGTCGACGTCAAAAGGCTTTGTCTGCGGTTAAAAACACACCGTGCCAGAGTCAATCGCTCTAGATAATTTCTATTTCGTATTCCTATGGGCGAAATCGTCACGTTGGAAAATAAAAAAATGCGGACATGCAAAATGTATGTATGATCGAACGATCGTGTTACTTGATTGCAAAAAATATTCGGTGCGTAATTCGTAACATGCATGCCCGATAGAGGAATACCTACAAAACGAGGTTCGATCGTATTGTTCCCGTAAAAGTCTCTATCGCGCGAATCGTTTCTCAAACTGTACTCGGTTCGATTCGCCAAATGTCATAAAATCTGTGAGGCGGCAGTGACACTCACTGGGGCGCGTGCCTTGGTGGTGCGGGGTGGTGATGGTGGTAGGGATAGTACTGGTAGTGGTGGTGTTGCACTCCTTGCCATACCTCGGAGCCCGCTTCCCCGTGGCCATGGCCCGGATGAGAGTGCGCGTATCCGATAGTGCTGGCCGCTGCGGCTGCAGCTGCGGCAGCGGCCGCCGCCGCCGCGGAATACTGTGACGTAGTCACTGGGTACTGCTGTTGCTGTTGCTGCTGTTGATGGTGCTGATGCTGTTGCTGCGACTGCTGCTTGGTTCTCGGCGAGCTGGGCGCGGTCGTTTGTTGCTCGCCGGGGGACGTCTGTCTCCACTTGCACTCCCCGTTCATGGAGTTCATCTCCGCCAGGGATTTCAGGGGATCCCCGGTCGTGGCGTTGGTGGAGTGCGTGGACGAGTGGGTAGAGTGCGGCGTTGGCGGGCTGTAACTGCCGTTGTTTCTCGGGGGAGTCCGCGACGGTGGCGCCCCCCACATTAGAACAGTCTGTCGCGGCGCCTCGTTCCCGTAAACTTCCGGTTTCACGTCCTCTATCTTCGGGGTGAGGACGCCGTTCGTCGGTCCGGTTACAGGGGAGCTCCCGGCCGAATTGCTGGACGACGCACCACCCTCCAGGGAATGTCTGCTGCCAGCACGGACGATATTAATGTCGGCGGTCGCCGTGTGCATCGTCGATGCACTCGCGACGGGACTAGCCGCGTAGGGGGAGCCACTGACGCTGCTGGGATGTCTCGTCTCCACGTAGCTGTACTTCGGGGACTCGCCCAATTGCTGGCAATATAGCTTCTCCTCGGCTTTGCTTGTCAGCTGGTGCGTCTCGTAGGTGGGTAAGGAGACGTCTATGAAGCCGTTGTATGGGGTACTCGTGTGGTACTCTGGATAGTAGGAACCTAGAGGCCTGTACTGGAACAGATTCTCCGTTGCCGCCGTGAGGTACCTGGGGGTTCGAGGAATTTGGATATAATTAAGCAATCGATTGTTTTTCGTGGACTTGGTAGGGAAGAGATGGAGGTTCACCTATTGTCCAACGCAGCTGCCGGGTAGAGTGTTTGGTGGTAGTTGCCCGTATGACCAATGTAGGTGGTCAACGAAGGATCCGTGCTCGCCGCGACTGCTGTAGGCGCATAGGGAGTCGGGTACATTGTATTTAGATTGCTATACGCCGCTGCAACCGCGGCCGCGGCGCTTGTGTCTGCCGCGAGGTAGTCCACGGACGCAACTGTGGGCGTCACGGGCGGAGAGACCGACGATTGGGCGGAAAGCTTGGTACGTTTGTTCCTGCAGGTCGACAGAAAGTCCCTCAGCTGCGTCTTGTACCGTCTGTTCACTCGCTGGGACGTCGGTTGCGTCGGTAGCGTCGGCGTCATCACGGAACCCGTGAGACTGTCGCTGTCCGAGAAGTAGCTGTTCGTCAGTCCGGCGTCCAGGTAGCTCACTTTGAAGTCCATCGTCCGCTTTCCTAAGAGATCTCTGCCCTCCTCCTCCCTGTCAAGTAAGAATATTTTGAGGGATCTGGCGAACCATCCTTCAACCCTTGTGAACAATTTGGCGATCAACACAAGGATTAATGACCCCCGGAGCACTCACATGAGAGGTCTATGTGTGCTGATGACGAAGTCGGGCTTCGAGTTTTTGTAGACTAATCTAGAACTGGTCTGCAACCACTGCCACCCACCGTCCTTCTTCTGGAATCTGTACGCTATCATACCAGAGGCCCCAGTTTTCAGCACTGAAATCACATATAAACGAATGTCACAACTTTGCGTATTCGTGGCGATACATCGGTTAATATTCTTACATTCTTGGTGTGCACTGGCTACGTAAGCCAAGTCGTCGTAATGGACTAGATCGTAGCCGCCGAGGTTCGCGAGCTCGGCGTCCGAGTAACCAAGCAGCATCTTCCCTCGTTGGTCCATTGACACGAGCGCGAGGTCCAGTTTGTGTTTGCTTTTGAACATCACGTCCTTCTGGGGTACTTCCAGGAGGGACGGTGGTCCAAACGGTGTGCACAGGGCGAACAGAGCCAACGGGGGCTCCTCCGTTTTCCTGTTTTGGCCATGGAGTATCTTCACCCGTCCTCTGATGTCCAAACGCTGAAATAATAAAAGGTTCGACGGATGAATACTTGCGTTAAGCATACGCAATGCGCGACCCCTTGGCCACTTCTGACTCATAAATCATTTTGATCACGCTACCGTTCATAAGTATGATTGCACTTATGGACGTAGGCCCGTTCGATAATAACAGTATAAAATATTGAATAAATTGAAACGGTGCAACGAGCACGGTTCGCAATTTATCGTGGCCCATTTGCGGTTTGCCGTGGATCACTTTCAGTTTGTTGTCGGGGGTACGAGGCTGGGGTGGGTCTTCCTGACGTTAGTCAGGTCGAAAACTCCGATTTAGTTGATGTTCTCCTATATCTGGGCTGCTGCCCTTGGTAGCAGTCTGGTGCAGAGAATTTCGACGAAGTTGGTGGGCCCACTTCGGTCAAATCCACTCGCCTCACCTCCACGTGGGGCCCCTGGGACCCTGTATTGACTTATGTTAGTACAGGGTGCGAAAGAGTGAGTGGTAAGTGGATCAAGTGGGCCAAGAATGAAAGAAGACACAAGAGTGAAGAGAAGCAACTTGGAGTCAAGATCGTCTAAAAATAGTTATGAAAACAACGGAAAAACTAACAGAGGAATGGAGATTTCGTAGGAACGTTTATCGAAAATAATACCCGAACGAGTAGAACAGGTTAGTAATCGAAAGAATAGCTCCAAAAAATGGGATGAATTATACGCTTCCGTCATCCCTAGTTAACCGTCTCGATAGAGATTTATTAAGAATATTATTGCCAGTAATTGCAAACGCGATACGGAGAAGAAAGCTTGGCAGAATGTATTTCCAGAAATCCCCGAACCTGTCCCACGACGATAGTTGTCGCGGCGTCGTCCGACGTCCACGAAAACAGGCATAAATCAAAGCCTGAGCAAAAGCAGATCCAGCCTTTGGAGCAGCGAGCCGCGACGCGGCAAAACACTAATTATCTTACGGCAAACAGCCAGCAAATACAGAGGTACACGGGACAAAGACGGCCGAGGGACTATAAAGGGGCACGGGAGGGGCACAGGGGGTTCGCAATCCTACCTAACCCACGGGCAACGCGCAAAAAGATGGCTCCTCTGACGTTTATGAAAATGAAACTGTAATCGTAAAAGCTTTGCGGCGAGAACGACACCAGACCACGGTTGTCTTTCCCTCATGCCGACGTCCTTCGTTTTTACCAAAATCCACGCGAGATCGTCTTCCGCGCCTAACTCTCTGGATCCTATTTCACGCCTCATTCGAGGATTTCCTATCGAATTAATTGAAAAATACCAGATATTTATGAATTTCGAGACACCAAAAACATTTTCGAAACGTTTCACGATTAGGTATAGTATCATACTTTGCTCCTTCGTAAGTAAAAATGGCGAGAACTTTATTTCATAGCGCACGGTAATTACGAGCGAGAGAATCTACAGAAAGTGGTATTAATTTCTGGAAAAAAAAGTATACTTCCGTCGAGAAAAAGTCTCGTAATTCCATCTACCAGGATGCCAGAGAGAAAAAAACACGGTAATTATAGTCGGACGGGGCGAAACCACCCCCTTTCCTATACAATTAAGTTCCATTATCGCGAGTCGCGGGGTTAAATGGGGTTCTCAGTGGCAATTATGAAAATTTGATGTTGTAAAAATCCGATCGATAACTCTCGACCGGTGATCGCGCTCGAAAATTCCGGAGATCTTTTAACAAACATCCATTTTTGTTTCTCGAGAAAATAATCTTCAAATATTCGTCTCTGTTTTGATTATAATTTTGTATAGTTTATTTATAACATGGTACGCATGGTGCTCCTATTCTTGGCTCGAGGTTAGGGGTTGGTATCGCGGGACGCGAAACTTGCGGAAGACAGCTAGTCGAAATTTCTTTTGCGGGTCAAAGTATCATCCTCGATTGCGTGACCGTGTGTGTTTCAATGAATGAAGGAACGCCACGTTGCGTACTCGTATAATGTGCACGGAATTGCGATGGGGCATGCGAGATACGCGCTGCTCGAGACTCCATATCGATTCTATTTTTGGCGGGAAACAAACGGAGCGAACAAAGGCATGAAAATCATTATTAACCCCTCTTAAAACGTTAGGATTGTTGAGGCCAAGCACAGTGTGGACCATTTGTTTTAAATAGATTATAGGTTTTACAGTATTAGAATTGTTGGGGTCAGTGTCCTATTTAAAAAGAAGTGCCCTTTTTACCAAAGCTCGAGATATATCGAAGCCCTTTTACTTGGAACACCCTGTAAGTTCGCGACTTCTACACGGAACGCTGGCAAATAACTTCTTCCTTTTTGCGAGCGCTAGGACAGGTCGAAGAGGTCCGCGCGGGAGGGACAAAAGAAAAAGAGGAAGATTCAAGGCGCGACTGGAAAAAAGCAATTACTCGGGAGAAAAGGAAACAGAAGCGGAGGCGGTCCCTAACCTCACTCTTTCCCTTTACGACAGTGAAATTATTAATTACTGTTTTGTATACCGAGCGTGAAGAAGCCACCTTCGTGTCCCATCTTGTACCCTAATCATCAGCACGATGCGGAAAGATTTCGCGTAATGTTGTTGATGTCCGAATGCCAAAGATGGGCAACATTTTACTCGAATAATTAATAATTTCATTTAACGATTTTAATTTTCTTCGGCGACGTAAGTTACATTTTTATCGCGTTCTGTCGCACTGTGCGTTGCCAAACAGCCGATAGACCTTGTACTGCGATTATTTAACTCGAGTATCCGTCAGACGCATTTGCATACACCTTCGTTTGCTGCCGTGTTTCGGCGTTTAATTGATCGCAAGGATCGAGACGTACAGTGGCGAGCCTGTACCATCGACACGGTGAATTGGACCGAAATTGCTGTTTATTTTATGGAGGACGGTGTTCATTCGAACGAGAAAGTATTATACCTTCGTGTACATCGGAAACGAATGCGATTGGCGAAACCTTATCGATGGGAGGAGCAGTGTTTATATTTCTATCTACAAATTTTACTACAAGCTCGCGTTTATTATCGTCATTATACGGTTAGTTGCCTGCGAAAATCTTCTGCGAGGCCTAAATTGTGTTTCTGGAAAATTGGAAACTACATAACCTAAAAATTGTCGCGGTAGGAGGGGCCTAGGGTAATCCCCGCCATCGTTGTTCCTCGAATCAAACGCGTTACTTGTAGGGTTCCGCCACCTGTTGACGATGTGGCTAAGTAATATTCATAATGTTACGTATCGTGGACTCGATGATTATTTTTTAATAGAAACGTGTCAGATATCCACGATTGATCTTCGTTTAAGAGTTTTTCTCTAACGAAGGATTGTACTGACCAGAAAGCCGGATGTATTGTCTAAAAGACACCGAAAACGGACAGTGAAACTACGTTCCAAAAGATGACTGTGTTGGGGCGAGAGGGTGTCGTGAAGGGGGAGGCTCGCACTTTCCGCTGGCAGAAAGGAATTCCACATCAACTGCCTTTGTAATTCTTCTCGATCTTCGCTGTGTACCAATTCGTAAACACTTTGGTGGACGATGTCGGACTGCAACAGAAAAGAACGAATTTTTCTAAATAAATGGTGACCTGTAACAACTTTTTAGTCCAGTAACCGCCACCCCAGTCGCTTTTTTCTTCGGTCAATCAATAATTGATCGTATAGTTCCGAATTAAAAAATGTCTACTATACAAGGTGTTCGCCCACTTCTGGGAAAAATTTTAATGGGAGATTCTAGAGGTCAAAATAAAACGAAAATCAAGGATACTAATTTGTTGATTGAGGCTTCGTTAATATTTTGCCCAGGGGTGGCCGAACACTCTATAGCTCTATAATATTCGCAAGCAATGCTGCTTAGAATTATCGAAATAACGTCGATATTAGGTAGCCTGTTAATAGAACTAAATTTTTCGAAACGTGACGTATTATTTTGCAAGGGATAACAAGAAGCAGAGTGGCGCAGTGGAAGCGTGCTGGGCCCATAACCCAGAGGTCCGTGGATCGAAACCACGCTCTGCTAAAATGGTTTTCCATCAATTATTTTTTTGTCTTTTCATCACCTTTCTACTGTAACACTTTCTACATAAATATCGGAATGATTTGTTTAACATTTCGACAATATTTAATTATTTTTAGCGATCAGAGCAGCTTCAGAATGATCTGTTACTTCCTGATGGAATGAAAGGGGTGGTTTCTGACACTTAATGGTACGTGACAATAAATTACACCCTAGAATTATAATAAAAATATGTATTTGTTGCTTGTAACTATCTCAGTGTGTCGCTGGTTATTGGGAAAATTTGTACTGCATCGAAAACAAAATAAAATTACCCCTTTTACTCTACTGAAGAGGAACAGAATGTATCAGAGCTGTTTTGGCCTCTAAAAATAATTAAATATTGTGGAAATGTTGAACAAATCGTTCAGATATTTACGTAGAAAGGGTTGGAGCAAAAAGGTGAAGGAAAGACAAAAAAATAATCAATGGAAAACCATTTTAGCAGAGCGTGGTTTCGATCCACGGACCTCTGGGTTATGGGCCCAGCACGCTTCCACTGCGCCACTCTGCTTCGATGAAAAGTACATGTAAATTATTTTCCAGCTGATTAGATTTCGTATAATATATTTTTAACTACGAGTAACTCATAAAAAAAGTATATTAAACATGTTAATAAAAGGGTATTAGATTTGTTGCACCTAGTGTTTAATAATGAAATATAATGTAAAAATTAGGTACAAATAGTTGCAGAGGAATGTATGCGAATATAATAAGCGATTAGATGTTATTTTTATTTTATTTTTCTATGCACTACCATGTTATTAAACTTTATAAATTATTTTAAACTCGCTAAGCAACTTCGTTGTGCGATAATAGAACAAACATAGTTACGCAAATGTCTGTCTATAATTTTTATAAGTTTATGTGTTTACATAGTACATAAACTATGATGATTGGTTCTGGCTATTGGTAAAGTTATAAAATGTAGTAGTAAATATTTTGAAAAATGTTAATGAATGTAATTGTAGAACAAAACATTCCTTAGCGTGCCACGTACGTTAATATTCACAACTAGGACTTATTGATTTACTCTGTCTGTCTCTGGCTTCATATAAACGAGTTTAAAGAAGTATCTTTCACAACAGCAGAGTGGCGCAGTGGAAGCGTGCTGGGCCCATAACCCAGAGGTCCGTGGATCGAAACCACGCTCTGCTAAGAACAACTGAAGTTCATTTTTTTTTGCTTTTTTTCTCAAAATTCCATACCAATAACGTTTATCAGGACATTCTGACCACAAATAGATTTTTTTAAATTTATTTATCACTTAATTTACATAAAAACTGAACTTTAAGACTTATTACGCAGCAATTGCCTGTATCCTATTTATTTATCCAGGCATATCGTATTAAAATTTTGTTCTTGATGTATTACTTAATGCACAGTAGAAATGCTTGAATAATAATTCTAATTTGTGTATAAATTTGCACGATATTATTGCACCCCTGATGGTAATAGCTTATCGGGCTCGTCTCGAGCATTTATCGATCCGTTAAACTTACGCGGTACACAATTTCAGCAATGGTAATAAAAAAAGCTAGATTTCTAGATTTGCAATGTACTTAAAAAAGCTGTCAACGTATAAAAAATATTATTCTGGCTTACAAAATTCGATCTTTCGAAAGACATTACGGACAAGTGTTCGTAAATAATTTCGTGTGATCGAAACGAGTAGAATATTTGGGGTGGCCAAGTTAGGCTGGAGACCGAACGAAATCCCTGACACCGGGTAAAAAGGTGATCGATTTCGCGTGGAACGAGCCCCGAGTAACCTGCACCCCCAAATGCAGAGCGTCGTACGGTGTCGAGCCGGCAGGGGCAGTGGAAAAAAGAGGGGGGGCGGGGGCGTGAGGCAGCGCGCGGCATTATTTCAGGAAATATCTGATCGGTCGTGACGTCGCGACGGCGACATAGGCGCGCATACGGCACCGTGTAGCTACACGTGTCCGACGCACTTTATCGCGCATAATTAATCCGCCGGCCCTAGCAGCGACGGACGATGAGCCCCGTGTGCACGAGAAACCCATAGTTTCCTCGTTCCACGGTTAAAGAAAAAGGAACAGAGGAACTATCCTCAGCTGTTCCCTCTCTTTCTCTGTGTTTGGCGAATACCCGGGTACGCGTATGACTCCCAATCGGATGATCGAGTCCGCGCAACGCACCCCGCAACCCCGTCGGCTCTCACGAGCCGGGGCTTAGAAAATAGATCGAATTAACACAGGCCAGGTTGCTCCGTGGCCACGGTTGTCCGGCCTTCTTACGCCCGGAATAATGCAATAAATCAGCCGGGTGGAAATGATACGGACGCTCGCCTTCGAACGTGTACGTACTATACGGCCGTAGAAATAGGAAGACCGTTGGGGGCTTTACGATGTTCCGAGCCACAGTGGTGAGTCCAGATATCCACCGAGGGGGTGCAACGAAAAATTTACACAGACAAATACCTCCGGATAGTCTCCCGCGCTTCTCAAATCGTTACCCGCGAGTTAGCCCGTGTCGAAAATTAGTTGAGTCTATGTATCGAAAATTTGCGTGGGACAAAATGGTTGGTAAATTTAGTTTCCAGTAAATTGGGTCGTAAGTGTTTTTGATGAGCAAGTATAAGTGAGATATACTATTTATAGTTGGGGTAGTTGACAACCCCCGATAGGAAAAATCATTTGTTCAAGACAGTGACGTAAGATTTACTTGTTAGTCTTCTCTTAGGAAAAATTAGGTGTTACCAAACAGTGTGTACAAACAGTTTGGTGAAATCTGTTGCATGTAGGGTAAGGTTCTCAGGGGAAAAGCCTTGGAAGGAATGCGTCACACTAGCGCCACGTTTTTCATATAGCACTACTAAGTAATTCGATTCATAGACGTCGAACTCCTTTTTCCTCGAAGCACAGTGTTATCAGGATAGTTTGTGATATTTATATAAACAATCTACAATAGTACACTTAAATACTGTTTGCCCCGGTCTCGAACGTGGCTTAACTTCAGCGAAGAAGTCGAGTTTCTATTGAACAAGGGACGTTGAATGTGTGCGATTAAAAGGTAAAAATAATACAAAATGCAAGAAAATATTCGTCCGCGAGGGCATAAAGAACCCACGGTTGGATACTTCAAAGCAGCTCGGCTCGATTGCATAATTCTCGCGATGCACGCGTCCCGAGGAGCTCGCGGAGGAACAGCTCGAATTGTCGCGATAGACCATTAGCTGGTCATAGTTGTCCGGGGCTCGGTTAACCGGGAATAATATAATAAATCACGCGATAGAAGGGAACGGTAGCTTTCGAGGTACTGTTGCATTTCCGATAGGCGGAACAGCGTAGCTCGAGCCGTGTCTCGTACTGTAACGTTCGTGTCGGCGGAGCACGGATCTCACGACTTCCATGTTACTCACACCATCCCTGTGTTACGATATTACTGGCGGCTGTCGATAATGGGATGCTCACTGTGTCTGGGTTTGCGGGCATTTTTCCGCTTTCCTTCGAAACCTTCGAATTTTCGAGGGAATTGCCAGAGAACTTTCGAATTATTCCTTTGGAGGAAAAGGTCCCAGTGATTAGGTGCAATGTTAATCTCGAAAGACGTCAGATTTAGAGTGTATTATGATATTATTTTGAGGTTGACACGGTGATCGTATTGTTAACTGTATTGATTTTCTCGCGATGGATTCATGTCGTTATGGATTGTTCGCATTACCGTTTAAATTGCACGGGGAAAAATTCTCATCGAATTAAAACAGGCCAAGATTAGTATGGAATGTAGGAGTGGATACGTACAAGATTGATGGTATGCTTACTTATGAAATATATTAACATAGCACGAGGATATATCAGGTTACTGCATGTCGGAAGCGTAAGTGGTTAGTGGGAGGAAGTCTTTATGCAGCCATTTTCGTTGACGTGTAAATATGACGTTCGTATGGCGGTAATGTTTGAAATGCGTTATGGTAATTATTGTGTAATGTATAGATAATACAAAAATTAATAATGGGTATATACCACAACTCAACGAACAATATTCCTCCAGTTCCCTCAAGAAACCAGATTAACCCAGACTCTCTTAGGTTGGACTATAGTAATTTTTCTTCAGCTACGCTCGGTGTACCTGGATGAGTACTCTAGCGTCCACCGTACCAGGGGTTCTCATCTTTTCTTGACTCTTCGTGGCTCCCACCTTGATTTAAGGCCCTTTTCTCTTGGGTTTATCCTTCCGAGCAGAGTTCGTTCTTTATTGGGCGACTGATCCACGGAGCCTAGCCAAGAACAGCGATGTCTGGAACCGAGTTGAGCAAAGGCGACCAATGAACGAGAGAACACAACGACACCGGGGAACACAGGTTCCCCCTTGGCCCCGCCGGGTGCGGAATACTCGACGGCCATAAAACTCGATCTCTCAATAAATATACGAACGCAGCGAGTCGCTTGGCGTATCGGGGGAAGGCTCTGTGTCCTGGCTGAAGCCCTCTTGCTCCATGGGGTCCGATGAATTCAAGCGGGCACCG